GTAGTGGATCCTCTGATGATCTTGATGAGCTGCAGCTGTGCAGGAGGCTCTGCTCAGAGGATCCACGGCGGACTCTGCTGGAGAAAGGTGGAATTTCTCCAGCTCCCAACATTTAGTTTATCTGCATGTTATATGTAGGCTAAAAAGTTAAGCTAAAGTAGGCAAGCACAAAAAAAGAACAGGCTTCATAATTATTGCACTAATTTATAATTAATGGCTAATAATATATCTGAAATATGAGTGGCGGTAAAATACACTCCTGAGACAAAAGTCTTTAAATCTGCAAAACTGAAAACTAATGTATTTGTTTTTAACTGATTTATAAATAAACTGGGAAAACATTAGCCTCTATATATTACAGTGTGACCATGGGCAGGAAAACTGTTATACATCTACCATGTTTAACAGGCAGGAAATATGTGGCTTTGTCAAGCATGAAAATGATTAACTAGGAACAATCCCTACAATCTGAAGGAGGAAAACCAGAAAAAAAGGAGCAGATAGAGGTGGAGTAGAGGTGGAGTAGAGGTGGAGAGATAAGGTTAAGCGTCACTAACCATAAATGAAACTCAAAGGTTGTGAGTAACAGCAGAGCTTCAGTCCAGACTAGTTTCTCTGTCTGAGTTTCTTCGTTCTTCCTCATCAACCAACTCAAGCAGCGGTGAGTACAGCTGATAATATTCACTGTTTCTACCATCAACAGCAAACTGATGATTTTAGTCATTACTAAACTTTACTAAATTTATCCTGCTGCTTTAAGAAATACACAGAATTACCTTTGATTGATTTTCTTCCAAATGTTGTTTGGAAGAAAATGGAAGCTAAATAAACATGTTGGAAAAGTGGATTGTGCTGTTTAATTCAATCGACATTTTTTTTCATAAGGAGTTCAAATCTTATTTAGCCTCAGTCAATGACAAGGAGAATCCTCCCAGTTTAAAGTCCACAGAGAGACACACCCAGTCAGACTGATCCCAGTAAAACCTCTGAGTCCATGAAATGTTGGTTATTATCTCCATTACAGTTCACCAGATCATTCAGTCAGATTGAATAAAAGTTTTCTAAGAAAAAACATTGACTTGAAGGCA